TTACCAAAAACATGTAGCAGAATACATTTTGGCCTAAATTTATAACTAACTTTGAGTTTACTATATATATTTTATAGCTGAAAGTAAAAAATATAATTTTTTGTTTATAGCGTGAAAAATAAAAAGCGCGCAGGTGATCAAATACCACCGAAAGCTCTATTTGTGTGAAAAAAAGGACGTTAATTTAGTTTGGGTGCAGCATTGCATGACCGCGCAATTATCAGTTGAATTAGTGCAGTGCCGAGTAGCAAAAAGAGGCCTGGTCATTAAGGGGGGTAAATCCTCTGGAGGGCAAGTGGTTAATGGCTGTGTGTTGAGTTATTTTGAGGGGACAGCACATTTACACTGTTATATAAGCTGTACACTCACTACTTTACATTGTCATTTCTTCAGTGTTGTCACATGAAAAGATATAATAAAATATTTACAAAAATGTAAGGGGTGTACTCAGTTCTGTGAGATACTGTATGTATGTATATATATGCTTTTTTTTTTCTGCAATCGGAAAAAGAAAAAAAATTTTTTTTCAGATTGAAGAAAAAAAAATGTGTATGCATGTCACGTACCTGATGGGAGACTGAATTGATGAGGTCGGCCTCACTTGTGTCACTAGCCCTGACCCCGCTGAAGTTGGAACAGAGGGAGTCTAGGGACTAGGGGGACAAGAGCCCCAGTGGTTGTTGCTTGCGGCTCTTGCAGGTGATGACCTTGGTAGGCAGAGTATCCTCTGATTTGGGCACCATAGATAGACCAGGTAGGTTCTGTGGATTACCAGATGTGCAGCAGAGCAAGGTAGGTAGCCAGGACACAGGACTGGAGCAGAGTCAAGAATAGCCGGGGTCATAAACAGTCGGGCAGCGCGGTACAGAATCAGAACGAGAAGCCAAATTCAGGAGCAGAGCCGAAGTCAGGAACCAGGAGCAGGAGAGTAATCGGAGTCAGGTCAGGAACAAGAAGGGTCAGCAACAAAGGAATCGTACGGAACTAGCAGGACACGGGGGGAGCTGAAGACCAGTCAGCACTGAACCTGAGCAGAGGCACTCCTTAAATGGGCCTCTCCTGCAGGAATGCCTGTGTGCAGGCGCGTTACCGATAGCAATTCTCCTTGCCGGAAATCCCTTACAATGCATGTTTTTTTTTTTTTTTTTTCGTGCACCAGGAGGAACCCAGTACCCACTGCACCAGCAAAACAGTCATGCTGAACAATGTTACAGGCAGCATAACTTTTCTCCAAGGCTTCTCCAGACCCTTTCACGTTTTGTCACATGTGCTCATACCTGCCAATTCTGGTGTTCAATGGCAAATGCCAATTGAGCTCCATGGTGCGGGGAAGTGAGCACAGGGCCCACTACAGGACATCGGGCCCTCAGGTCACCCTCATGAAGTCTGTTTCTGATTGTTTGGTCAAAGATATTCACACCAGTGGCCTGCTGGAGATCATTTTGTAGGGCTCTGGCAGTGCTCATCCTGTTCCTCCTTGCACAAAGGAGCAAATACTAGATACCAAATATGCTCTTGAGACTGCTGGGAGACACAGCAAACGTATTGGCAATGGCACATATTGATGTTTCATCCTGGAGGAGTTGGACTGCCTGTGCAACCTCTGTAGGGTCTAGGTATCACCTCATGCTACCATTAGTGACACTGACCCTAGCCAAACTAGTGAAAACCAGTCAGAAAAGATGAGTTGGGAAACAAAATTCAGTAAACTCCACCTATAAAACCATTCCTGTTTTGGGGGTCATCTAATTGTTGCCCACCTAGTGCACCTGTTGTTAATTTCGTTAACACCAAGCAGCTGAAACTGAATAACAACCCCCTCTGCTACTTAACTGACCAGATCAATATTCCAAGAGTTCAATTGACTGGATGCTATACTGATTAAAAAGTGTTCCTTTAATTTTTATTGAGCAGTGTATATGTATGTATGTATGTACAGTATGTATGTGTGTGTGTGTATGTGTGTGTATGTGTATGTACAGTGGGGATCGAAAGTTTGGGCACCCCAGCTAAAAATTTGTATTAATGTGCATAAAGAAGCCAAGGAAAGATGGAAAAATCTCCAAAAGGCATCAAATTACAGATTAGACATTCTTATAATATGTCAACAAAAGTTAGATTTCATTTCCATCATTTACACTTTCAAAATAACAGAAAACAAAAAAAATGGCGTCTGCAAAAGTTTGGGCACCCTGCAGAGTTAATATCTTGTACTGCCCCCTTTGGGCAAGTATCACAGCTTGTAAACGCTTTTTGTAGCCAGCCAAGAGTCTTTCAATTCTTGTTTGAGGTATCTTTGCCCATTCTTCGTTACAAAAGTCTTCCAGTTCTTTGAGATTTCTGGGCTGTCTGTCACGCACTGCTCTTTTAAGGTCTATCCATAGATTTTCAATTATGTTGAGGTCAGGAGATTGTGAAGACCATGGCAAAACCTTCAGTTTACGCCTTTTGATGTAATCCCCCGTGGATTTCGAGGTGTGTTTAGGATCATTATCCATTTGTAGAAGCCATCCTCTCTTTAACTTCAGCTTTTTCACAGTTACCATCCAAAATTTGCTGAAATTTTATTGAATCCATTTTTCCTTCTACTCGTGAGATGTTCCCTGTGCCACTGGCTGCAACACAACCCCAAAGCATGATTGATCCAACCCCATGCTTAACAGTTGGACAGAGGTTCTTTTCATTAAATTCTGTGCCCCTTCTTCTCCAAACGTACCTTTGCTCATTCCGGCCAAAAAGTTCAATTTTAACCTCATCGGTCCACAGAACTTGTTTCCAAAATGCATCAGGCTTGTCTATATGTTCATTTGCAAAGTTCAAACCCTGATTTTTGTGGTGAAGACGTAGAAGAGGTTTTCTTCTGATGACTCTTCCATGAAGACCATATTTGTACAAGTATCTCTTTATAGTGGAATAGTGTACCACAACTCCAGTGTCTGCCAGATCTTTCTGGAGGGATCGTGCAGTCAAACGTGGGTTTTGAATTGTTTTTCTCACAATCCTGCGAGCTGTTCTGTCTGATATTTTTCTTGGTCTTCCAGATCTTGCTTTAACTTCCACTGTTCCTGATGACTGCCATTTCTTAATTACATTCCAAACAGAGGATATTGACATCTGAAAACGCTTTGCTATCTTCTTATAGCCTTCTCCAGCTTTGTGAGCGTCAACTATTTTCAGTTTCAGTTTCCTAGACAACTGCTTAGAAGAACCCATGGTACTGATTGTTGGGGCAAGGTCAGATGAGTCTGGGCATTTAAAACCTTTGAGATTGACATCATCTGGTCTTCCCAGACGATGATTGAGAACAATCCATGACACTGGCAGGTCTCAGCTTTGCAAAGGGGGCAGTGCATGCTATAAATTCTACAGGGTGCCCAAACTTTTGCAGACGCCATTTTTTTGTTTTCTGTTATTTTGAAAGTGTAAATGATGGAAATAAAATCTAACTTTTGCTGACATATTATAAGAATGTCTAATCTGTAATTTGATGACTTTTGGAGATTTTTCCATCTTTCCTTGGCTTCTTTATGCACATTAATACAAATTTTTAGCTGGGGTGCCCAAACTTTCGATCCCCACTGTGTATATATATATATATATATATATATATATATATATATATATAAATGTGTGTTTCCTGGAATTTGTTTTACTGTAATTTCTCTTTAATGCTTTTATTTCAACAGATTCCATACTTTGGTCTTACTCACCAGAAGGTCGAACACAAGCTCCAACAGCTACTGAGGTAAGAAATGAAATTACTGATTACATGCTGGACCCCATTGAACAGATATTTCTGTGCCACTGGAACAAAACTGTAAAATAATGTGCCCTCTTAATTAAAGTCAGTAATGGCAACTCACAGGTGTGCTTAAAGTGGACCTTGCACTACAGGCAGGTCTAGTGTTTACCTTTGCCCCTTCCTCTTTGCAGAAGCACTGAAAAAAAGTACAAATAATATTCCTGTAGGGGTAAAAGGCACCATACTCGCCTTTTTTCCAACTTTGGGGGTTCAGGTTGGAAAAAACAGCTCTTTCAGTGCAAAGTCCACTTTTCTGTCCCATTCATATCTACGCATGTGCAGCACTTGTTGTACCTCCTTTCTTTATACCTTGACATCTGTTGCAGACCATGCATTGCTGCATGCGCTCATGCATTTATCGATGTGTACTCGATGCAATTCCATGCACCAAAAACATACAGTTTTTTCCCCATGCACTGCAGGTATTTATGCGTGCATGCATTGCATTAAGTTGACGGTCATGTGTGTTGTTTGATGCATGGATGCATGCTGGAGGCCCATAAGCGCTGAATGAACTTCAAAACATATGCACACAGTGTCTAGCCATGCACTTCAATGTGTTTTGCATACTTGCAAAAAGGCTATGAAGAGTTGGTGTTAATATCAAAAGCAGTTTAAAATCAATATGGGCTATGCAGCCTGTAGGGTTACTCCGATAACACCCCAGGAGTTAATTCTGTCAAACGTTTGTTTCTCTTCTGTTGGATCACATGTCCCATGAGCTCAGGATAATGAGAATCAACAGACACAGCAGAGTGAAATATCAACTCAAAATCAAAAGTTTATTTGCTGCATTACATATTTGTATAAAGTACACATACAGTAGGCAGTAGCATATATAGTAAGAATGAAACTAGCTGATAATACATTTTTATTTCTTAGAAAGCATATCATTTACAGTAAAACAAAACTTAACAGTTTTGATATTCTTAAATAGATACTCTTACTAGAAAACTACTGCTAATAGGAAGCTCACTTTAACCTTTCACTTCCAAACAAATCAATGTGGATGCATTGCAAGCTCAGAACGCCCATGAACATTGGCCCTTTTACAGCTGGCTGCTGGAAATAACATACAGTATGTCAGCCTTTTCTGTGTGTTTCTTAGCTTTTGATTCTGTGCTATCATCATTCTTCTTCTTTCGCCCAGGGCCCATTTTCTTGCCGGGCCTGCAGGAAGACATTCCCACTACAACGTATGTTAACCCGTCACTTGAAGTGTCACAGCATCCAGAAGAGGCACCGCTGTCCTTGCTGTGCCAAAGGGTTTAACGACACATTTGATCTGAAACGTCACATGAGGACTCACACAGGTAATCTGGTGAAGTTGGGATCTGACATACTGGCTGTCTGAACTTCTGCAGTTGTTGTAGTCAGAACTGACACCTTCTTCACCCATACAGGTATCAGACCATACAAGTGTCCAGCCTGTGACAAGTCTTTTACTCAGCGCTGCTCACTGGAATCTCATCTGCGCAAAATTCATGGAGTGCTACAGAGCTATGCCTACCGCCAGCGCCGCTCCAAGATCTACGTATGTGAGGAATGCGGCTTTACATCCCCCAGCGCTGACACCTACACACTGCACATCCTAGAGGCCCATCCCTCCAACCCCATGCTGTCCAAACATCTACGGAAGCGAGTAGCTGGCGTTCTGAGAGGGGAGATTGGAGGTCTGATGCATCCAGCGCCATGTTACCTTGCAACTCATGTCACAACAAGACGACAGACATTATGAGCCTGCAAATTCCTTCTTAGATATAAGCAGGGGAAATAAAGAGACACTCCAGTAACAGTATTTTTCTTTTGTTCAGGGGTGTCAATGGTTTGCGCTCTCAAATCCTCGTAGGAGGAGCTTGGCTTTTCAATTGAGCTACTTTTGTTACCAGACATGAGTTTTTAATACAGGAGAAACTATTGTACCCTATAGTGGACTCTCCTTGTATGGCAACTTTCAGATGAGCTATCATCCTGTTGTAGCTGCACTGTAGGGAAATTGCTCCTTCTGAGATCTATGCAATATGCAACTGTCAGAGTATTAAAGCATGCTTCACTCCACCATGAAAGGAGAATTCACTTTGTGCTATGTTGCTTTTTAAAAGGATTTAATTGATGAGTTCCTATCTCCTGATACCCCCTGTAAAAAAACAAAAACAAAACAGATACACCAGTGATCAGGAAGCACAGCTAGATACTGTATGTATGCTTAGTTTGCGTGTAATACCAGGTTTTACAAGTGGGTGGCACTACAGTAAAATATATAGTTGCAGCTTACAGTAAATTTTTAACTTAATGCCCAAACACAACCTCAGCCTTATGTTTTAGCACTCTGAAAAGGTATAGTATATTTGTACTGATGGTCAATCTCATTTCTTATGGCCCTAAAATCCAGGACAGTACAAATATCCCCCAAATGACCCCTTTTTGGAAAGTAGACAGGCCAATGTATTTACTAAGAAGCATGGCGAGTTTTTTAAAGCTGTAATTTTTTGTCAGATTTTTTTAGAAAATGAAGAAATTAAATTAATATTTTTTTGCAATTTTTGTTTCTACATACTACTACCAGTGCAGTACAGCTTTATCATATGACTAGTGTGGCTATGCTCAGGTTTACTGACTGGTGACACTATGTAAAAAAAATGTAAATAATATTTCATTCAATTTTTTAAACCTTTTTTTTCCTTGTTTTTTTTTACAGTTTTACATACTGTAATCAGTGTAGTTTAGTGTCACTGTAGTGAAACTGTACTACTCTGGGAGAAGGGTGGGGGAGGAGGGGTGATCAGGGATTTTTCTTCTTTATGTTTTTTTACAATGTGATTGCTGTTACAGTGATGATCACTGTAACAGCAATTGTTTGAACTGTTGTGAATGAATTTTATTCATAACAGTTGTGCTTAGTCTAGTGATGATGTGATTGGCTCACAGCTATCATATGGTACAGGACATATGTGGTACAGGCCCAGGTACCATGCGATAGCTGTGCTCGGATTAAGGTCCCTGAACAATATCAGGCCACATACCCTCAACATGGGGGGGTGCTTTGGGGGAGGGGGGCCTCCTTTCCCAAGGCCGAGACGATCACTTCGGTCCATTACTTGGCCACTGACATCATATCTGGTGCTTACGGTGTACACAGTGCAGTCATCTTGGTGGGTGTCCAGCCATGGCCACATCAATAACCTGGAAGTAGTGCCTCCCTTCCTCCCTGTAATATTCCTGGTCTTCTGGGCATCATACAGCTACATTGTTGGGTATGTGTACTGGCTAATACCAGCCTCTATATCACACCAGGAGCTGTTACATACATTTCGCTGCTAAAGCTTGGTGGAACCAGAAACTTCTATCTATATATCATAGTGCCTGTCACCAGTTCTCTTGATTGCACTGAGGTGGTGTCAATGTTCTTACTGACATTTTTTTTTAATAAAATGTTTTTTATCTTTTTATTTTCTTCTTTTTGGACTGGAGATGAACTATCCCGCTATGCACAAGCAATCATAAAACTTTGAATGGTTTTGTTCACAAAACTTTAGTGTGCTGCTTTTTGAAATTTTATATTAAATTAGTGGCAGCCAGTGAGATTTGACCTGCCATTTGTCGCATATTGGTGGCAGCGGCTGGGATCTGACATGGTTGTTGTCCCAGGGGGTACTTGGTAAACATTTTTAAAAAAAGGGAACATACTTATGATAAGCTGATAATCACTGAGCTAAGATACTTTCTACTGGCATAATTTAAAACCAAAACACACAAATATAAATGGAATAGTTGTTATTGGCATTTAAATAAATGTTGGCAAGAAGAGTTGTTGGTATATTCAATGTGTTAGAAAAAATGTTGGAGTGATTCATGTTGTCTTCCACTTGGTGGCTCTCTTGTGTAACAAGATTCAGATGAAGATTCAAACCTCTTTATCGCAGACTGTTTACTATCATTTAATCATCATTTGATAAGTTCACCTTTTAGTATAAAAATAATAAATGCACATTTTTTTGCAGGTAAAAAAATGTGCATTTATTATTTTTGTGTGCAGATCGCTGGTGTCATGCAGGTTTCCTGCAGATCAGTCAGAAAATATGCTTGCTCGCACGGGATGTAGGAGCAAGCAGATATACTGACAGGAAGACTCAATGAATTACCACGGCGCTCCAGGCGTGCTGTGATAGTTCACTGAGGACAACAAGCTGACAACCGCTAAGGCTGCTGGGATTTGTAGTCACATTCACAAAACTCCCCACGGTCATGTTTTTTTCAAATTTGACAGCTAGGTGGGGATCCCCTGCTAGCTGTCAAAGCAGGGAATGGGATCTGCTCAGATCGTATTATATTACATGTTACACCCTGAATATGGATGTAACATATAACATGTTACGAAAGGTGAACTTATCCTTTAATGCATTACCTGCACTAAGGTAACCACTTGAAGACCAAGCCTTTTATTATATATATTTTTAAAGCAGAGGCTCTAGAAAATAAAATGGTGTGTGTTACAATGTTATATATCACATGGTATTTGCACAGCATTTTTTTCAAACACATTTTATTTTTTTAAATTACACTTTTTTGAATTTTAATGTGTACAAACACAATATAATACCCAATTGTCTGTAAAATTAGAGGTGTAATTCCTAGCTTTCTGTCAGGTGGGGAGTTAAAGTGGTAGAAAAAACTAATGCTTACTATTCTTATAAACGTTCCCTCCCCTTTCCTCCTACCTATACTGCATATGCTATATGAAAAAAGATCTGTGTACTTATCCGCTATTCCTGGTCCAGTCACAGTATGATTCTACAGCTTTGGCTCCCCTCTGTGTAAAGGAGCTCTCAGCTATGGTTGTGACTTCCCAATCCTTCTGGGAATCCCCGCGATCTAGACTTGTTATATGCAGAATAGGTAATAGGACGGGCAGACACAGGGGCGGACTGACAACTCATGGGGCCCCTGGGCAATAGAGGATCATGGGGCCCCTGTGTCCTTGCCCAAACTCAAAAAAGCCTATGAAAAAGGTACCAGGGGCATCTCATGGGGCTCCCTACTGACCCTGGGCCCTCGAGCAGTGCCCGAGTTTCCAAATGGTCAGTCCGGCCCCTGGGCAGACAACATTTGTAAGAATAGAGTTAGCCTTTTCTTCCAATTTAAATCTTAGCTCTGTAGCACCCTCCTAGTTTAGCTAGGGGGAGATAAACCCTAATAGTTCCCCCAAACTCCTTTATATCCACATTTACAAGTCACGCTCTTTTGAAGTCCAATCATTCCCCTCCCAAAGTACACAAAGGGTTGAGGATGCAGGTGCCATCAGTGCCCTTATATGGACACGTGCCCATATTTAATCAATGCCATTGGCCAAATATGGGCATGTGTCTATGGAAGGGCACTGACATAACCAGGGCATCCCACCCTTTGATTACATGTGCTGAAGAGCTGGGCATGACCCGACCTACAGCTGACTGGACTTCAAAAGAGCGAGATTTGGAACCTCGAATAGAGATACATTCGGAGGACACCCACCTGGCATGTAAGTAGTAGAACGTTTGTCTTACCTTACGAAAAAATATGCCTTTGTTTTTAAAGTACGCTGCTCATTAAAAAAAATTACTGCGCAGTCATTATAGAAATGCTAATTATCTGGCTTCTATGCTAATAGGACTTATATCCAGATCAAGATACAGCAAATGAAAGTCTGGCAAAAATCAGATTTCCTTACTTACATATATGTACTTGTTCTGGGTTAGTACTGAAGCCAATGCTTCAACATGACAACCAAGCAACTGGCATTTTTCAGAAGGAGAGGTCATTTTGACTTTACTTAGGCTTGCATTTGCGTCATGCTTGTTCCAGGGCTGTAATCTAGAAGTTTTAAAGTCAGCCATGGCCAGGCAACCAGCTTTTTCTGTAAATCAGTAATGGCAGACCCTATACAGGAAAAGACAAGTAAATAGTCAACAAATGATGTGGGTGGCCTCTCCAGCTTATCTCCACACAGCAAGGAAAGGTTTTTCCTCACCCCGATGTATCTGAAAGCATCCCACTGGAATTCTATAATTGTACTCTAATGAGTGCTGAAACATCTGACAGATTATAAAAACCCATCTACATCTTGCCTGACGAGAAGACACACCAATAGAAGACAATTGGCTAATGTTCTGTTTTAGAATAGTTTCATCACATACTATGATGTTCTTCCCATTACCTGGATTATCTTGTTCCTCCTGTTCTGTATTCATATTTAATGCCAGAACTTATTTACAGATGTTTTCCCATTTTCATTTTATTATGGTTATCCACCTGCTGCATATGGACTTTATTGAAAATTATCCCTTGCACTGAGCTTGTTCAAACAGTGCAAACTAAAAGGCCTAGTTTATATTTGTGGTTGGGGGGCATTAAAAACAGGCAGTTAAGTCACATTTTTACCACTCACCAACTCCTCCCCCACTTAAGCTGTAAAGGCAGCTGTACACACATAGCATTGCGGTGCACCAAAAATGGTCCCCTAGGGATATTTGGCAAGCAGTATTACTGTTGAACACAGCCTGTTCAAGTGAACTAGGCTTGTGGTTGTGGTATTGCCATTGTCAAAGCCCATTTGGGGGTGGCCTGAGGGACCGACATCCTCTAGTGGGCCCTGTGTTCACTGCCCGGCACCATAGAGCTTGATTGGCATTTGCCATTAAACACCAAAATTCGTAGGTCCACCAATGTCCCCCTGTGCTTTTCACAGATGAGAGCAGGTTC